TATCACCACTCAGTCACTGCATGCATGGGCTTTTACTTAATATAAATGCAGACGAGGTGGTTTTGTCCAGGCAGGGAGCAGTGACGCACGGCCACACCTGAACTGTGTCCGAAATCGCATATTTGCATTCTGTATAGTATGCGAAAAACACTATAATTCTATAGGCTAAAGCCATGATGAGCTGGTGTAAAGTTAACTTTATGGTAAACACTTTTGATAGTAGTAAATTTATGGACACTCAGCTTCAAAAGATAACATTTTTATTCACTGCATTTAAATATGGATTACAGTTACTAACGTTAGCTATTTACTAAAGAGCAACAAATGAATTTAGTTTGATCCTCTGTTTTGTTTGATAACAGGTGTGAGTCTGACTTTAAGAATGCAATAAAACATTTGTTTTGTTTATGCTAATTTAAGATAATATTACTTGTATTTAAATAAAACATGTTTACATATTATTGTGTATTTGTCTATTTACACACCTGAATCTGAAAGTATCCGCTGTCATTCATCTTCAAATCACGTGTACAGAAGCAGTCTTTATCACTATGGAGCGCGTCCGTCACTCAACTGGAAAGGACGTGAATGCGGCCGTTTTTACATTAATTTCAATGTGCTGTCAATCCAAAATAATGTGAAAGCTTAATTCTCTTAAACAGTTCTTGCATCACATTTAAGATCGGCTCTGTGTAGCTCCTACTTTCACTTTTCATAGAAACATTACAAATGCGGGAGAAATACAGGAAAAACACACACGGAAGACAGCGGATAGAATGGTAAAATATGGTAGAATTAATATTGCAAAAACAAGAGGGTTTATAGGTATGAATTGCATACAGTGGCACACATTTTAATTCAAAATCATTTAAAACAATAACATGCAGTCACACATCCAAGTGTAAAGTTCATGTAAAAGTTTTATCAAAATAAACTGTCAAATACAGTTGAGCTCAAAAGGTATGAGTAATCTGAAAAATGTTCTTTATTATTATAAATTAATTATTTTGCAAAAATAAGAGGGATCACACAAAATGTATGTTTAAAAGTAGGCTACATACCTAAATATTAGGGCCAGACAGAATCTGCAAACATTTTTTGCTATTTCTGCTGAGAATTACAGGCAGAAAATACTACTTTACCAACTGTATTGTAAATAAATCATATGAACATTTTAATATTACTATTATTATATCACAATAATATTAGTGAAATGAATTTAAATACTGAGTAAATATAAATGTACACAAATTTACACAAGTAAATAGATAGACTCAATGATGGGCTAAAAATCTGTAGAAAACTGCAGATGTCTGCGCACGCAGACTCCATGTGAGCCTACTGAATATATTTTAGTCAAAATAGGAAATAATACTTTGATTAAAAATTTCCCCTACATAAATTTTAAATACCTAATTAGATTCTTAACCCTGTTAAAACTGACACGAACAAATAGTCAGAATTTTCAAATTTTTTGGAACTGTCATGTTTATTAATCCCATCAAGATCCATTTTTATACCATACATTTTTTTTATAAATTAATTATGTATCATATTGATACATCAAGCCTTTTGGTAACTTTTTCTGCTTAAAACTAGTTCAATTTAGTTCCCAAACAGTTTGCCTATAACATTTTGATCAAATAAAACATTTCAGGCAGTTTGTCTTTTTTATTTCACTTTGTGAAAGGTGTGATTGCAGTTTCAGTCAATTGTTCATGCGAAGACAGACCTTACACCTTTCACATATGCATGTGAGAAGATATTGCATTTTTAAGTTCTTTTGCCCTTTAAGACTCCCATATTTATCATTTTGTTTCGACAAATGTACAAAAAGATGTAATCATTTGGTGAGGAAAATGGGATTAAGAAATTTGGGTGGGGATGTGATGTAATTATTTGTGACTTAACATGCTTAATGTAATTATACTTTTACTTCTTCATACTATTTAAGTTGCGTTCAGAACTTTGACATGTTGATGAGGAAATTAATATGGGGGGGGGCGCAAAACTTGAACTCGCATACCCCTCAGTAAATGTGCAGTTGCGCCCCTGCCCACATAGGAGCACCTGATTGTGATGAACATTGTCTGATGAAGAGCCGGGTGGCTCGAAACGGTACACGCTCTGTGTCAGCCTTTTTAATTTAATAAATTTGTATTTTTGGAGCTTTGGTGTTGCCGCCTTTGATTGACATTTATTTGCACTTTTTGCGGTTTTGGCTGAGCACCCAATTTAGAGAGATGTGCGTGCTTTTGTACAGTTTTTTCAATCTTCTGCTGTTTGCCTTTGCTATGGTCACCATCAGCTGTTCCTCACATAGCGGTCAATTTTCAAAATAGTTAAAGTTTTGCTACTGTGTGGATTAATACTGAATGTGTGTTGTTATTACTTGGGTTTAGGGTTAAGAGTAGAGTCATACAGTATGCTGGTGTTTAACTGCATTACTTTATTGCATTCCTGCATTGGGCTCTCGCATACTCTGTGCTACTTCATAACCATGGTGGGCGTTTCTCTCTGTCTCGTGCTGAATCAAGTCAACCAATTACAACAGACTGGGTCATTGGACCAATCACAGCAGATTAGCCTCACGCAAAGGAGGGGTTTGGGAACAAATTAATCACTGAACAAATCATATTGGGTCATTGGGATAATTAGGTAAAAAATGACCTTTTGACCTTGCATGCACATCAGCCTGTTGTTGGAGACCCCCAAAACTAAAATATGACTTTTTATAATGCAAAATAGCGGCTCTTCAATTCATAAAATACAAACAGTTTAAATATTTATAATCATCTAACCCCTGTAATACATATACAAACAAACTAAATAAATAAATAATGACATATATAGAAAAACATACAGCTCAAAGTGTTATCAAAACTGCATACCTTGCTTCACATTTTGCGAAGGAGCCTTTAGCGTCTTTTCCACAATTTCCATAGGGATCACCTGCAGAGTTTACTCTTTCAAAACAGATCCCCGGGGCAGGTTTTGCTCCTGAAAAAAAAGAGAGAATGAAAACAACACAGCATATGCCCGCTGTCAGAGGTGGAAATATGACGCTGTACAATTCTTCCATCTTGTTTGAGCTTGTATATAAACCGAAAACAGATGAAAGGATAACATATGTCAGACTGTGGCCTGAATCCTTTTGGAAGGCAGTCTGAACAGACATATGGAATAAATAAGAGCAATCACTGTGTGAGCTTTCAAACTGTTTAAGCTTGCCATTTGAATGCATGGACGATTGAACGTGACTTTTTGGCTCGACATTGCTTGCATATTGTATTACAGTGTCAAAAATGGATGATTAATGAAGTGTATATTTGCAGTACCTTATGATCTATTTCTGGTCAACCAAAAAAGCCCTGCATTAGCCTTGCAGAAACTCGCATATTAAACCTATACTAGTACCAACCTGGTCCCCAGAGCGTGATGCACTGCTGCTCGTGAGTCTGGCAGATGCCGTTGTAGCAGTAACCATCCATATTGTGGCAGGCATGGCCATCGTGCAGGTACACATTGGCAGGACAGTGAGGGTTTGTGCCAGTGCAGAACTCAGGTAAATCACAGGAGTTACTGGACTCTCTACAGGGAGTCCCGGCTGGTTTTAACTACACACATAGACGAACAGAGAGCTTAGACAACAATAGAAACAATCTGAATGTGCACAGCATCACCTAAGGTTGATTTATTTTTAAAAATTCTAATAAATAAAGAGCTAAAAAAAATAAAGATGAGAAAGATGAACTGTAATGAAGGCGCAGAGGGATAAAGCCAAGAGAGGCTTTGCATGTATTAAAGATTACTGGGTACTACAATCTTTTTGTTTGTTTTTCTGGTGTGTCAGCCAAGTAAAATCTAAATAAACCAATTTTAAAATAAGCTTTAATAACAAAACAACACAACAAATTAAATAAAAAATAAGCTAAATTAATGTTAACCAATAAAAAGCGAAACATGTAAGGTAAACTAACAAACAAAAACTAAGTAAACAAATACTTACAAGGAAAAAAATAAGTAAACAAAAACAAAGGAGCTAGGTACACAAAAACAAGCTTTCAAGCTTCTTACAAAATGTTGCTAAACAAACAAATAACAAATTAAAAAATACAAAATCAAGAAAAAAATATCAAAGTAAATAACCAAAAACAAAAAAAAACAAAAAAACAAGCTAATGAAAAAAATAAACAAGAGAAAAAAACAAAAACACTGTAAATAAAAATACAAAACAAAACAAAGAGGTGAACAACAAAGAGGTGCTCTGTAAAAGATCAAAAGCAAAACAAGCAAGCTAAACCAAAACAAAAAAGAAACCCTTATTCATTAATTTTCTTTTCAGCTTAGTCCCTTCAATATGAGGCGACAGCACTACCTACTGTGCCACTGCATCGCCCCAAAAAAGAAATAATAATATAGTAAAGCATGCAAAGAAATAATAACAAAACAATAAAAAGTAAACAAAAACAAGGAGTGAAAATGTAGCAAAACAAAGAAATAAGAAAATAAAGAAAATAATAACAGCCGAAAGTAAACAAAAACAAAAGAAGCAAAAAACATATTAAACTAGTTAGAATATTTTAAAAGAGGTGATTTATATTTTTATTAGCCAAAATGTTTATTATTATTTAAATCAAAGTTAAATACAGTACAAAACATTTTTAGAGATTAATAGATTAATTTATTTTTATTGACTCTTCATTTAATGAAGAACTAAGCTGAAATCTTGTAGTTTGCCTGAGGTCTAGCCTGGAGGCCACTAGTTTTGCTTTATTTTTTTTTCTTAGCAAACGCTTCTGATTTATGTGTCTGGAGGCCTGAGAGGAAACTGAGTGTCTATGTTTGGAGTGTAAATGTCAGTTTATGTTGCACTTATTAATGGGGCAAGGAAAATATGATTTCCACCCTTTATTTTACATACTGAGAAAAAAATAATGGTGAGGAAAGAGGGACAGGAAAGATTTATAAAAGTACCTGACAGTTTTCACAGCACTGGCCATGTGCACAAACAGCATCTCCCTTTAGGGTGCAGGTTGTCGCGTTACAGCAGGGGTTCAGACACTCCTATAAATACACAGATCACATTGGACATCAAGGCATTGAATCAAATCACATGCAGAAAAAGTCAATCACAACAGACAGAATTTAACAACTGAAGCATAAGAAGTACAGTTACAAATATGTTGTTTTAGTTTGTCAAAAAGTAGTGGAAATGCACCACACAAAACCTAAAAGCAAATAATAATAATAATAACATTAATAATAATAATAATAAACAAATATGAATAAATAATAAAATGAATGAATGAATAAATAAATAAATAAATAAATAAATAAATAAATAAATAAATAAAGTCAAAAGCCAAACAAAGTAAACAAAAATAAACAGAACAATTGCAAAAAATATATATATATTATTATGCTATTTGATAAAATTTAATCAGCACAGAAAAAATTTTGGTTCAAAAAGTGTCATGAATAAATTATGGTATTGCCTTTCAGAATTAATGAAGCACAAGTTAAAATCTTGTCTTAAAAGAGTGGTAAATATGCAAAAGCAACAAAAAGCAAAGGCAAAATGAGCAACAATAAAGAGAAAAAGCTATCACAAACTATTAATAAAAACAATTACAATAAATCAATAAAATAAAATATATAAAACAAAACAAACAAAATAAAATAAAAAAGTATATAAAATTAAATCAGTTGCATTAAATAAATGACAAAAAAATATGCACAAATATACACAAAACACAGAAATGAATTTAGAACAAGATAAACAAAGAGGAAAAAGTAAAAATATAAGTAAACCTAAAACAAAATATGCAAAAAAAAAAAAAAAGAAAAAGAGCAAAACATGAGAAGTAAAAAAATGTAACAAATAAGGTAAGAAAATAGTAATATGTAAATATGTAGAAAATGAGATAAGTTTAACAATGTAACAAATGGGGTAAGTTTAACAGAGGCCAAAAACAAAGTATAAAAATGTGTGCAGGGAACCTTGATTTAAATAGTAGACTTCTAGACAAAGTAGAAGATTTCAGGGGGAAAAATAAAATGCTACAATAGCACAGGATTTGACCCCTTTATTTGACATTATCCAATTAAAGGTTACTGAGAAACAATGGAAAGTGACTCCGAACTGCCTTCCCATATGATCACTGCATTAGATATTAGTTCCAGGTGTGGAGTTTATATTGTTTCAGGAAAATCCCTTCTGTCAACCAGTTCTTTGTATCCATGGTTACAAAAAAAAAAAAAAAAACATTATTTGGAAATGTTAACTTTGGGTTTTTGTGTGAACGTCTTGACATGTCTGGTTTAAATTAGTGGTCTGTGCATTGTTCTGATTTCTGAAAAGAAAAAGGTTGTTTTCTCAAACTCTGAACTCTTGCTATCAGTGAACCGTGTTCAAGTGTGTACGTGAGTGACATCACCATTGACCCAAGACTGGAAGTGATGTGAACGTCAGAGACCCTGTACAATTGAAGGAAAGAGGACATTTATCTCAGAAGAGAAAGAAAGAGGAAGAGACAGAGAGGTGAATTCTGATGGGTGAAGATCATTGGGTTTCTTTTTTGTAAGTGAAGCAGAATTCAACAAGTGAAGCTCACTAAGATCTTGAACACTAACATTTTATTTATACACCCCATTTGATGGACACAGTTTCAAAGCCTTGTTGCAGCATCAGAAATGATAAATTGCATCTCATTTAGGGAGCAGAAACACTACAAACAAAGACAAGCGTAAAAGTAAACACAAGTATAACTAAACAAGCAAAGTAAACAAAAACAAATTATACAAAAACCTAGCAAGAGTAAACTTGAAAGTAAACAACAAGTAAAAAAGTAAACAAATAATAAAACAAAACACCAAAAAGAAATTAAACAACCTAAATACAAAATAAAGCAAAAGGAAACAAAAGTAAACAACATATTAAATAAAGTGTGTTTAAAGATAGACAAAACAAAACAAGCAGGGTTAACAACAAACAAAACAATTAAATAAATAAATAAATACAAATGACAAAAAAGTATGTGTTTGGGGCTTTTTCACTCGTTTTCTCCTCTTTTCCATGTTGAACATAGTCCTGCTATAGACTGAGAGGGGCTTGTCTTGGGTTTGGTCAATCCTTTGGCTAAAACTACTCCACAGCGTCTCAAAAATCTCTTTACAGACCTGCTGTTTTCGCTAAACTGCCCTCATCCAGAGTGAAATCTGCCCAACACCCCAGATCTCCAGCTGGGCTTCCTCTCCACTCTTTACCCACTTCCTCTCTCAATCCCCCTGGTGAGATCATGGAGCTCATGGGTGCCATTCTCAAACAAACTTTCCCCATAACATGATCCTGGACTTTAAATCTGAGACCAGGCTTTAATTCCTTCTAGGTCTACGCTGACATAATGTGTCTCTGTGACATCTAAATTACATAGATCATTTCTGAAGTCTTTATTTCCATTATTACATGATACTTAGGAGGGCATTTTTGCACTTATTTATAGAATAGCGGAAGGGGAAGAGAATCAGGCTATACAAGTGACTCAGTCTGGATTTAAAACTGCATGAGTCTAAAAGGCTTTACTCAGTTTCATATTGAAAAATGAACTGATGTGACATTCACTCATTCATTTTCCTTCAGCTTAGTGTCGTAATTATCTGGGGTCGCCACAGCGGAATGAACCACCAATTATTCTAGCATATGTTTTATGCAGAAGATGACATTCCAGCCGCAACCCTATGCTGGGAAACACCCCTCCCACCCACACACACACTATGGACAATTTAGTTTATTCAATTCACATATAGCACATGCCTTTGGACTGTGGGGGAAACCAGAGCACCCAGAGAAAACCCACGCAAACACGGGAAGAACATGCAAGCTCCACAGAGAAATGCCAACTGGCGACCTTCTGGCTGTGAGGCGACAGTGCTAACCACTAAACCACCATGCCACCCACTGATGGAACAATTTCAAACAAATCAAACTAAAATGCTGTATTTTGTCTTGGGAATTTAACACTTTCCAGAGCTCACCTAGAGTAAACACCAAATGAGCCACAGACATAGGGATGGGTACCGAAACTCAGTACTTTATTGGTAACAGTGCTACAGTACATTATCAAAGAATGAAGTATTAATAAGCTCTGAAGTTAACGGTTCTGCTATGGGTACTGGAGAATTATTGCTGAATAAACACGACTTACAGTAGCATAATTTAACTGACCAACCTTTTCTAATTTGCGATATTTGATATCGGTCTGCACAGTTGGCAATTTCACATGAAAAAATACTCGTATTTTCGCCCAATAGTACAATGGCGAGCACGTCAAGTATAAAAAGCTTTCACAGTTTTCTGCTGTGCTAAGCGCACACACATAGTTCGCAACACAGACTCGCGCACACACAGCTCGTAAGCTTGCGGAGTGACAAAGAGAACCAAACTGGTTGTATTTCCCGAGCGGACAGCGACAATGCAAAGTTGTTTTCTTGAATAAGTGGAAACGCAAGCAATCTGGCCAAGCATCTATCAAAAGTTCATTAACTGCAGAAAGACAAATTCAAAGTTTTTGACTGACTTGCTAAATCATCCACATTGTTATGCTAGCAGTCAATCACACAAGGTCTCTCTAAATTAGTATCATATTAATAGATTAATAAACACAAACATTCGGTTACAATGAAAACAGTATTTTTTTTCTGCAGTAGCGTAAATAAATGTTAAACATTAAAAATGCTTTTACATCAGCTGTTTTTACAAATATAGTCTAATAATAAACTATTCTTTTTAAGAAGTTATTAAAAATGCTTAGTTTTACGTTGTTAACTCCCAAAACACCGGTAACTCATTTATGGGAATGTGCAAGTGAATGAAAAATCTTAAACATAATCTGATTATTTAACTGCATTTTGCAACTCAAAGAGGGGGGTTTCAACTGCAGGGAGTACAAGAAACCAAGAAAGATTCTGACTTTTGCCAGAAAAGGCAAACATGTTGATTTTTCTCTTGAAGAAAAAAGCTTTAAAACTGAGAGTAATTTTCCTTCAAACCATTGTACATTCATATACAGGAAAATTTGTAATTATTTGTTTTACAATTATTGGTTTTGCTATATTTTACATTTAACGTAATAATAAAATAAAGTGTTGTTAATTCTGTTCAATTAATTTTTTTTGTATTTTTTTATATAAAAAACACTACAAAAAGTACCGATAAGAGAACCATTAAAGTACCGAACTGAAAAGTGGTATCGATAAAAGTAGTAATACTGTTAAAACCTTAACGATACCAATCCCTCCTCAGACATCAGAGAATAAAATAAAAACATTTTGATTTCCCTCTGGTTGCTGGATAAAGAGTACAATATATGTCATAAACTCCAGCCTCTTTCAAGATGTTAGTTTTCAGATGCTACAAAAATGGGGGCATTGCTTCATGCTTTTTGTTTTTGCAGTTGGGTCTGAAGGAGTTTGGGTGGGGCTTTGATATCATGGCTCCGCTTCATGACATATTGCCACACGTGCAAAATGACAGCAGCCATACCCTGGATGTTTGGCTTTCTTTACAGTGGAAGAAAGTGACAACATCTCATTCATCTTGTTTTCCAGAGTCTATAGTAAACATTTGCTGACAACATACTGTAATAATTGCCGGCAGCTAGCTCTCTGCAACTCTCACATGTTCGCCAACTGAAGCTAAGCAGGGCTGGTCAGTACCTGGATGGGAGACCACATGGGAAAGCTAGAGAAAGCTAGATTGCTGCGGGAAGTTGTCTTAGTGTGGCCTGCAGGACCACTCAATCTGTATTCAGTGTGAGTCCTAATGCCCCAGTATACTGCTCTGTACTGCTTAGTGAGTGTCGTCTTTCAGATGAGACGTTAAACCGAGGTCCTGACTCACTATGGTTGTTAAAAATCCCATGATGTCCTTTGAAATAGAGTAGGGGTTTAGGCCTCTATCCATCATGGCCTCCTAACCATCCCCATATAAGAATTGGCTTGATCACTCTGTCTCCTCTCCACCAGTAAGCTAGTGTGTGGTGTGCAATCTAGTGCAATATAGAAGTCGTTGTGTTATCCAGGTGGATGCTGCACACTGGTGGTGGATTAAGAGATTCTTACCAAAAATGTGTAAAGTGCTTTGAGTGTCCAGAAAAGCGCTATGGAAATGTAAGGAATTATTAATAATAGGTTAAACTATGGACATACCAGTTGACATGGAAACAATCTTTTTCTTATAGAAAATGTGGTAGTCCATCAAGGTCAGAAGATAATAAAAACATGATCACACTAGAGCTGCTTTGTAAAATAATAATAATAATAATTTAAAAATCAATGTTTTTTATGTTTAATAGTTTAAAACTGCTACTAAATAAGGTTGATCATTTCACACTTATGTTTTAAATGCCTACCTTTTTTTAGGGCAGAAATAATCCAAAAAGTAAATGTAATTTAAAGATCTCGTGAAATTAAAATAAATAAATGTAAATGTTAGTTCCAGTCTGTTAATTTTCAGGATATCTATTAGCAATTGTGCTTAAAAACAGTGAAATTTGCATTTATTAAAAACTGATACAAACATCTAAAGCTTCTGTCACTTAGACCTAAATGAATAATTTTTTTTTCATGTCACCTCATACTTTATTTCTCATTAAATCTTGACCAATTAAACACTCTCTATTAGTATTATGGCCCGCCCCCTTAAAGATGGTTCTAATTTGCTTTTCAATTGATGCGGTTGATGTCAACCACTCTCACTGACAGAGCTGTTCTAAAAACAAAATGCTATCGGCTGTTTTTTTTAAGGGGAGGGGCTACACTATGTCAAAAACCCCTTTCACACAGTGATACCGGTAAATATCCTGAAAATTTATGGAACAACTTTACCGGTATATTCCAAAAAGCGCTGTTCACACAGGCGAGGATGCTAGGGAATTTTCCCAGTAAAGACCATTCACACATCAATTCCAAAATACTGGTAAATTCTGACATCATTAACCAGAAATGAGCTCTAAACGGCTGCGCTTGTATTTGTAAACATTTGACTATACAAACTCTGTGGATGGATAAGTATTGTGAACAACTTCAATGAAAAAATAAAGAGAAACACATTTGCATGTCGAGATGTTCATGATATGTGTGTCACCAACTGCTTCACGGGCACACGCGACACGTCAAGCAACTGGAAGGAGAGCTTGAAGGTAAATAACAATGGCTTATCATAAGCATCTTATCAATAATTATTTATACAGTTGGCATTAAGAAGAAACATACAGTAGAAATGTTATCTGACTAACATCTAGCAGCTAAATGTGTCTGGAAAAATATTCAAAGGCTTTTATTTTCATAAACCGCGCAGACATGAATGCGTCTGAGTGTTCTGATTGGCTAGAGTAGACGTCTCATGTAGACGTGCACTCATTCTTTCCGGCATTCTTCCTTCTGCTTTTTCACAGAGCAGCATTCCGGCAAATTGCTGGTAATGTTACAACTTCTCTTTCCGGAAAATAGCCGGAACAAATTCACAGTTTTTTTTAAAAAAGGGCCTGTTCACACATACAGACCTTTCCAGAAAATTGCCAGTAATTTTCTGGAAAGGTCTGTATGCGTGAAAGCGGCTAAAGACTATAGAATGCACAAGACATGTCACTCGTATACTTTTGAATCAGGAAAAGTGTAACAGTCAATATGTCAAATGAAGCCCTGGCTTTTAGTACAGGAGCCAATCAGTGATGGCTATATGGCGAATAAAGCCCACTTTCTAGTACAGGAGCCAATCAGTGATCGCTATATGGCCAATAAAGCCCACTTTCTAGTACAGGAGGCAATCAGCGATTGCTATAGAATGACAACTCTCCGAGGGAGTGGTTCATAACAGATGTGAGTTTCTGCAGATTTTGTGTTATACAAACATTTAGAAATGAAACTAAAAAGACAGTTGTTGTTTAGTTTTATTTAATATTCGTAATATGAAATGTAATCGTAAGCTTAACAAGTAGTTTTGGTGAATTTGATGTTTTCCCATTCAAACAAAATGCCCGAGCATACTGACAGAGAGGAGTTTCAAAGAAAAAAAAAATATATGGCTCTATAATTGGTTGTTTTTAGCATATTTGAGATTATTTTTCAAAATGTTTGTCAGTTTAAGAACAGGTTTTGAGGACAAAGTCAGGGTGAAAGCCAGTGTTTGGCCTGTGAATGTTAAACTACATTAATCACTAAAGACAAGATATGGACCTGGTTGAGATCTGCTAATGCTAACAGCTGTGCTCTGCTTCGGTGTGATGTACAGAAGTCTTTGATGTGTGTGAGCTTTTCATACCTCCGGCTCTCCACAGTCACACTCCTCTCCTTCCTCAATGTATCCGTTGCCACATTTCTGTCCCCCGTAGAGCATTTTGACCTCAGGCATGTTATACAAACACATGCCGACCCCCTTCTCCAGACTGGCCACCAGATCCTTCTTACTGCACGTACTGAACACTGTGGGGAACGGGTACCTGTTTAAATAAACAGAATGAAAATTAGAGAGAAATTGTGTTATATGTATATTGCATTGTAATTTAGTATATTTAAGTATATTCATGCAATTTCATTTAATTCTTGTTTCTTTATATACAGTATTATATTATGGCGCTTTTAAATGCTTGATTCTGACTGGCTGATAATTCTGGGAATCACTCATCTAAACTACTGTAGTTTCAGGCAAGCCTTACCACATTACAGTTCTAACATATCTCTATGTTTTCAGTTATTTCACAGCCTACAACAACATTGAAACAAACAGACAAAAAAACTAAAAACAAAACACAAAACAAAACACACACACACAAAAAAAACACAAAACAAAACAAAACACACACACACACACACACACACACACACACACACACACACACACACACAAAAACACAAAACAAAACACACACACACACACACACACACACACACACACACACACACACACACACACACACACACACACACACACACACACACACACACACACACACACACACACACAAAAAAAACACACAAAACAAAACAAAAACACACAAAAAAACACAAAAAACTAAACCAAAACAAAACAAAACCTGAGAAATGTTTTGAATTACAACATTTGAATTGTGTGTTTAGTCTCTGTGATGTTTTATTTTTAAGTTAATCATTAATAATAACAATAATATTAATAATAATTAAGTTAATCCACCGAAAGAAAAGTGTGTTTTGGCAATTTTCAATAAAAGTTTGACCATTTGCTTTCACGTTTGGCTCTCTGTTGAGGCCAGTTTGACAGCTTCGGCCACAGTATTCTTAACGATCTCATTCCTCTTTCTGTTAGTTTGCTACAAGGGAATGATGCGCAGTAGGAAAGGCCTGCTCCCGATGCAATATTCTGTTTCAGTTGAAAGTACATCCACACACTAATATGAAAGTCTCAGCAACGTCCAATTAAAGGGGACTTTAAAGGGCACCTATGATGAAAATCAATAGCTTTTTGTAATTTTGTAAGCTGTTTGGACAAAACTGTGTGTATGTATAGTGCAGGGGTCACCAAACTTGTTCCTGGAGGGCCGGTGTCCTGCAGATTTTAGCTCCAACCCTAATCAAACACACCTGAACAATCTAATCAAGGACTTACTAGGTATACTTGAAACACCTAGGCAGGTGTGTTGAGGCAAGTTGAAGCTAAACCCTGCAGGGCACCGGACCTTCAGGAACGAGATTGGTTACCCCTGGTATACCTAGTCCACTGTCATATTGGTGTTATATAAACCCAACAAGTCTCTTTATTTTATATTTCCTGAATCAAAACTGAGACCCACTACAACTTGATGTAGGAGTGCAGTTTTCCATGCCCACTGAATTGGTTGACAGGCGCCATGTTTCTATAATAACATGTATACACGCGTCCACAGAACATTATTTTGCAAAGAAACTGGGGTTAAAACAGATGTTACAAGTCTATGTGAGTACCTGTAAGTTTTATAAGTTTATAACATTTTTAAAACAGAGCATGTTTTTGATAAAAACAGTAAAATCACCATGTAATTCATAACCGCTATAATCATCATGGCCACATGGTGTCAGAAAATGCACATTTATGTATGTGTGTGTCTGTGTGAGTATACTGCAAACAACGATGAGTGTGGCTCATCGTTTCAGAAAGGCTTGAATACACTCCACCACAAATATATAACACAAACTTACAGTAGTATTTTTGACTAATGAGCTGTATTTCAGCTTCATCCGAGTTTCTTTCAGTCACTGTGCTGTTTATCTGACATAAGGCACAATGAGAAGCAGACACGACACGTACGTGGGAGAAACAGTTCATTCACATTTAAAGCCACAGGCTACAACAGCAGCTACCATGTATTCAAACACCAAAATGGGCAGATTCTGGTGACTATAATAATTTATCTAAAGGGTAATTAGAGCTGTAACTTCCCAGACACATTCTGGAGACACAAAAGGCTTATCTAGCATCTTGTAAAGTGTCATAACCATAGTAGTATAAGAAGAATTGACTCTAGTCCTTTGACTTATTAGAAAATAAAGCACACTCAATGTGATGTTAAATGTCATGTTATGTGTTATGTGTTATGTGTTATGTTATGTTATGTTCCATCTCCAACCCACCATAACAAACCCAACCACAAATTTATCCTGGTGTAAGGGCTCTTTTCACTAGTGATTTACATCAAATTAAAAGCTTTAATAGCAAATATTTTCATTGTGTAGGCTTTTGAGTGGTAACACATTGATGAGAGGCAAACAAGACCAAATAAACACAGTGCATTGATAATCTCAACAACCCAGCCAAGCTTAAAAAGTTGCAAGTACTCAAATTCCCAAAGCCATTAATGGCATTACTTCAACGAGCACAAAAACCGCAACAAAACGAAGCAAATTAGCATATGACCTTCCATCGTGGCATTCAAGCCGAGTCGTCTACGTGATCCAACTCCGAGCCAGCGGAGCATAAGCCTGTATGCTACTCTTCATGCTAATTCACCTCTAGCAATACATGATTATCAACAAAACAAGCACTGGGCCTGAACTCAGCCTGACCACAGTCACCCAAATGACCACAAACACAAAGACGGAGCTCTTTCAGATGAGCCTATGGGTCTCTCTATAACTGGATTAATTTAGCATGTCAAATAGTTAAAGTGATAATACACGTAAAAAAATTTAATTTCTGTCATCGTCTAACCAGCCTCCAATTATTTCTTTCTGCTTTTAAACACAAAAGAAAATGTCAGAAATCTGAAGCCAGTGACTTTGTGAACCGGTCCCCAGTGTTTTTCAAATTATATTCTGTTGTGTTCAACATCAAAATAAAAGTTTGCAACCCCTTTAAGGTAAGAAATTGGTGGGTACATTTTTATTTTTGGGTTTACAATGCCTTACTAAATGGATATGCAGTAGGATACTAAAATATTTTGATTCATGGTAAATAAAATTATAAGGGAAAAAGTAAAAGGTACTTTTTAAAAATTAAATTAAATTTCTCCTTAGCGTTTTTAATATATACATGAATTTATATAAGTGCATAATATATTGTAATATAATATAATATAATATATTGTAATATAATATAATATAATATAATATAATATAATATAATATAATATAATATAATATAATATAATATAATGTTTATTTTGTTTCTTATTGGAATCATTTGGATGGGTTTGGAAAATTCAGTGATTGTCATTCACGAGTTAGATACTTTTTATTACTATTTTATTATTATAATATTATTTGTCAACTTTACGCAAACACAACTTTGCCAATATTGCATTTGTCCAAACAACACACTTGCTAACATGTGCTAATGCTAATAATGCTACTCTTATAAAACTGTCTGGTGCTAATGAAATCATGATTAAAAGACTATTAAACAATCCGCTGTGTAATCAGAGGTATATTCGGAGCTCCTTTTGATAGTGTGTGAAAAGTTTTGACGTTTTGCAATAACAGCAACTGTTAAATGTAAGAAGTTTTCAGATTAAAATGTTTTCTCTGCAAGACACACATACCCTTCAGTGCTTCAGATATGATCAGTGACATATTTTTCTGAATTTTCCTGAATCATTGCGGGACAAAACACCATCAGTTAAAAGGTAAAATACAGTACTGTAACAGAAGAAATGGAAGATTTATAGACACACATTTTAGAGAATAAAAATTACTTTAAACATTTTAATGTTAAAGAATTAGCAAAATGATTATATATATATATATATATATATATATATATATATATATATATTAACATATAAAATAAGTAATATTAAAAGAAAAGTAGAATGATATATTTCGATTAGACAATAACATATGATGGAAAAATGACTTGCAGCTACAGTATACGTTATTTTGCAGAAAATATATTGTGATGGCCTGTAGCATCCCTAGATTCATGATGATGAGTAATACATTATTAAAATAAGTTAAAATATAAACACTTGAAAGTAAAGCTGAAAGAAATAATGACTTTGGACTCTGCAGAAGATTCTTCATGCTCTGCTGGCGGTATCTCCAGTTCACTAACTCAACCCAACAAACAAGTGCAACAACAAAGTGTGGATTTGCTATGCGCTCATAAATATGCGAAACGTTGAATAAATGGATGTCCTTGAATTTGTATGTTTTTCGAAAAGCGAGAGTGACTCTTGCTGCAGATTATTAGGGTATGCATGCATGCATGTGAAGAAGGGATTAAAGCATTAATAATCAGAAGGTTAATGGGTGTAACACTTCTGTGCTGAGAAATTATAGCATATGGCCATGTTTAGTAATTACAGCATGGCATTACTTGTAGCATATGTCTTATGAAATGAACTCAAATTGTACCAAATAAACAGGAATAAATAGTACAATGAAAATAGTACAATTATACAACAATATAATGGTAAAGTTCTTACTAAATGGAGGAGCAGTAGGATATTGAAATATTTTGAGACAGGGTAAAAAATAATAAAGAGAAAAGTAAAAAGTACTTTTTAAAAACTAAATAAAATAAAATAATTAAATAAAATAATTAAATTAAATTTCTCCAAAGCGTTTTTAATACATACATGAATTCATATAAGTATATAATATAATATAATATAATATAATATAATATAATATATAATATATAATATAATATAATATAATATAATATAATATAATATAATATAATATAATATAATATAATATAATATAATATATAATATAACATAATATAATATAATATAATATAAGATAATATGATATAATATAATAATCGTTATTAACATCTTCCATTTTGCAAAAGATAACAAATTATGCATTATTACATTCTTTTGAAAAGTATTAAGCTACTACAGCAGTTACAGATCTGTTTGTGTCAGGTCCAGGCCACTAAAAACCCAAATATGTAGTAATAATTAGCTAAATATTCATGCATTCAAAGGTTAAGAAGCATGAAACAGAAATAAACAAACCAGCCTCCAAAACATGCATCAAA